GCACTTTCATACGAAATGAAGGTCCCTCTAACAATGTTATCTCAGGAGATTGATCGAAACCCACTTTTTCCTCGTATCTACTATTCCTTCATCACCTTAAACGAAATTGGGTGAATACATCTCATATAATTGAAACTCAGTTTTTCTCTTAACTCATACACAAACAATCGTGACTACTAAGGGGGAGTAAACAGATGCGGATACATTTTTCAGCATCTCCGTCGTGGTGCGACGAAGTTTGACCAACGTGGAGAAACCATATCCATCCTATACCCTGTGGCGGGCAGAGGTGAACTCTTGCACCTCCGCAGTCAAAAGCGGCCCCGGAGGCAATACGACTATCAGGAAGAACAGGACCGATTAGGAATTGAGTCAAACGGCGTCTAGGCTCTCTGTGGCTTAACCAAAATACCGGCCTCGACCATAATTGTAGACGCTAGTCCCTGGCAAAAGCAGTATTTGGGCGCAGCCAATTTATGGTACTTCGACAGGTGATCCGCCCATTTATGCCAGTTTCGAAGGTCCGCACTCTGTTGGTTCATGCTTCGCCGGCCGTCATTATCCACGTCACCATCATTAGCAAGACCGCCTTGTCGGCATGAGTCGCCTCGATTGGTACAAACGGCTGCCGTCATCCCGACAACGTCGGGCAGCATTGCCTGTCCCGAACCCCGGCCTGGGCACAACTTGCCTCGGTGGCATTCATTTCTGAGTCATTCGGGGTTGGAGTGACGCTGCCTCTTAAGACGGCGTCTGTCGCCAACACGTTGACAGGTTTCGGGCCGTGCCACGCCAGCACAGGTGCACCGACGGGGCCTGACGAAGCGGTTTAGTTTGTGCCCCTGTGTACTTCACATGTCGTCGTCCCTCCCCCCCATCCACCCCCCACCATGGCTACTCTCGCGCCCCACCACCTTCACCGCCTCCGTCGCTTAGACTACTGGTCTGGAAACACGTTGATACTTCCGGTGGGTAGCCAGGTCACGGTCGTCTGGTCAGCTGCGGTACCTCCGCCACCTTCGCTCCTGCGAGGGCCACCTATTACCGTTCTGCCAGTCCAGTCTGTCAGCCAAGGCAACACAATCCCTGTCTGGTGGTCAGGCTGGCCCTGTTGCAAACGTTGCCAGTTCTCGCGTCAGGCCCCAGGCAGGCCTGTGCTCGAGGCGATAGCGGTCGCGCCAGTGCCCCGACCTCGAACCGCAGACTCATGCGACCCGGCCTTGCCGAGGCTCGACCCGGGATCGGGGTGGAGAGTCCTGTCTGGCCGGGCGTTGCGTCAGGAAAGCCAACGCAACGAAGTTGGCTTGGCAAAGAACAGTTGGGTTCCGAGGCCTCTCTCGGTTGATGGTGCCCGTTTCTTGACTGGTTTGCTTGGATATGATTATAAGAATGAAGATGCTCGTCATTTGACTGACTAAAGCTTAGCGCGTTTTCACCTGAGTTAAGTGAGATTATATTCCCATTGGGCATATAAAGGCTATCTTTCCGTTCTAATTGCTCTGAGCCATTGCGGCTGATTCTGTACATATACGTACACATGAAAGAAATTGGCACACACAAAGAGAAACGAGTATGCTTCTAAATTGGGATATGGTGTGAACTAACCGAATTAATGTATGCTTCACGAAAATGCATATCCAAGGTTGTGGGGAATTTCATTTAATGTGAAAGTGCATGATAAAGAGATTAGTTAGTTAATCTCATCGGAAGCCGACGGCCGATTTCGGTTGTTCTGCAGTCGTTTGGCTTTAATACGGCATCCATGCTAACGCAGTCCACGAGTCATTCCACCCCATTTCGGGTGGAAACAGGCTATGGTATTTAGTAGGTAAGATGTAGGTAAGATGTGGAACCTAGACGATATCGAAACTACAATCCAGATCAGTTTGATAAGTAATACCCTTTTGGGAAGAAAGGCTGATGGGAATCCCATCGCAAACGTGAGGCTTACTCATATTATCTTGGGCGAAATCCAACATTCACCTTATACGACCAAGGATGAGTGCGACTTATGCGTAAACTTGAATATGGTTATA